TTATATATATATATAAACAATATTTTTTCAGACTGGAACAGTTACAGTTCGACAGTAGTTTTTCATAGAGACTTCGAAAGATTCACTTCTTCTCTGGCATCTCTCAAATCTCCTGTAAAAACCCCATATATACACTTGTTTTGTCTTTTGATTGTGTTTAAAAGATAAATAAATATTGTTTCACTTGATTTTTGTGTGTGTCCAGTCTCTTTCTTTTCTCACAATTCAGTAAAAAGTATAAAACTCATATTTATTCTTGCAAAATATTTTCCATCGAAACTCCTGTTATTCTGTGGAACGTACCAGATCGCTCTAACAAAAATATGGTTAGTCCTGTTGTATTTGCAGCAAGTCAAAATAAGAACGAGAACAATTGAAAGCTAATTATTTTGAGTCACCTTGGGAACTTTGAATTTACTAAAACAAAAATTAATGAAAACATTCTGCAGCAAAAATAATCAATGTAAAAAAGATAGAAAATTAATAAAACATGCAACATTAATTCGTGTTTTCTTCAATACGCTAAGAAATTTCATATATATCAACACATATTATTTTAAAACATTCATAATATCATGTGATAAACTTCTAATAATAAATATACGGGAAGATGCTTATTCGGATTTTTACTAACGTCATAAATTTATTTCTTTGTAAAATTAAATCATATATATTACATCATAGTTGTAAAATAAATATATATATGCATCAAACAACTGTAAAATCTGCGCTTCATAGCCTCCCAGTGGGTTAACAGTAAGTTTACGGACTTCAATGCTAAGATCCAGAATTTGATTACCCGTGGTGGAAAGATCACAGATAGCCTATTAATTAAGAAGCTTTGCTTCTTTGTAGTTAAGCACAAAGTTACACAAAGGGCTATCTGTGCTCTGCGAACCACGGGTATCGAAACCCGATTTCTAGTGTTGTAAGTCCGCAGACATACCGCTGTGCCACTGGGGGGGAGCAAGAAACTTTGCGCTATGTACAAAGAAAATAACATCACTCTATTTTATCATTGTACTTTGATTAGAATCCGTTAGAGGGAGAATAATAAGGAAAATATTGCAAATTTATTACGCAATAATGAGTCACAGGGAAATCCGTGTTTATGTGTTGCCTACTGCTTTGAGGTATAGAAAGAAATTAAATTGATAAACTTTAGCATAATTCGAATATATATTGTTGACAGTTAATGATTTACTTCATTTACCTTATTCTCTTGAATCGGCTGTAATACTATACTATATTCTGTGAGAATGATCTAGAAACATAAGACAATATTACAAGTCTTACTTTTAGTAACTAAAACTCGTAAAACTAAAAGTAGTATTGATAGTAGTACAAGAAGTGGTGTACTTCTGAAGTTCTATATCATGTACTCCCGATTCTAGCCTGGTTGTCTGGTAAGTGGACACTGTAAGCTGACACTGATAGGATACTTTTATTATTCAAAAAGATGCTAATGTATTTTGGTTTAACGATAATGTTATCCAGAATTAAAAACCTCACATTTTCCACAGTACATATGATTATGAGGTTGTCATGACCAAGCTGTTAATGATGTGGAAATCAAGTCTCATTGCAACACTTGTTAACAAAATATAGAGAAAAAAAAACACTTAGAAATCAAATACAAATACTAACAGTAACAGTGAAAGATGCTTATACTTATTTTCAGATTGTGTTTGAAATGAAAAGTATTAATTATATTTAGTAGGAGAAATAGTGTATTCTGGATTTGATGTTCTGTAACCATTTGGATATTTCTGTAGTTTAAAACAGAAGTTAGAAAATCAGTTGATGTGGCTTCTGGTGTGCTTATGTAGTACTTCATTCAAAATAAAGTAAGAGTATAGAAATGTAGTAATAAATAATGTGTCTAAAAATAATAAAAAATCTGTATTGCAATAGATCATTTATTATAAAAACGAAATATTCAATACATTTAGAATGAAAGAAATTAATTAGTTTTACATCAGAAATTCAAGTAATCTTGTGTGAATAATTATTTTAAGAAATGTATATCAACATTCTTAACTCTCATGATGCATTATAAATTTTCTAATCAAGTAGCAACTTTGCATAGTAATTCCAACACCACGGTGTGGTAGAAGACCATCCATTACTAAGAATTACTGAAACTTGGTTAAATCTGGAGAACATTGATAATAGGAATTATTCTGAAATTCCAGGTTACAAGTTATGAAATAGTGATGGACTTTTAAAAAGAAGATGCAAGGTGACTGTATAATGGATAAACTGCAGTCTGTTGGAACCAAATACACATATAAATAGGGGTAGTGAATAGATTGAGTCTCTCCAAGTTACATTTGAGGGTTTCAAGAGTAGAAAGTATTTAATAGGCAATTGTTATAGACCATCTTATTAGACAGATGAATGAGATAATGAAGAATTAAGTAATAAAATCAGGGTTGTTACTAATAGTAATTGTGGGACATTAATTTTAGATGTATTGATTGAAAATGTTGATTCATATAATCAAAGAGAGTAGTTTCCTTTTACACCCACCCTTGAGAAAAGTAAAGATTTAGTTCCATCCTTTATTTTTCAGGAAATCATGGATTCCCCTTATAAATACCTGTGAAGTGTTAACTTCCATCATTTCCAACTATCAGAAATGCTGTCCTACAGGTGGCTGTTTGTGCTAGTAATTACTAATCATAATATTGAGCTGTAATGTTTTTATATATTAAAAGTGGTACCATTTATTGACAAAAATAATAGTTTTTTTTAAGAACTCCAGTTTCTCAGTAATACAGTTAAAAATTGCATCAATAAAGGCCATGTGCAGTCCTAGTGAAAGTCATGTTCTTGTTGTGAGGAGAGTAGTTTTATTTAAAATGTGTTCTCTATTATAAAGAAATGGTTGTTGCACATACCAGAGTTATTTTTCTAATTGTCTAAATCTTGAATACCCAAAGTGTGAAATTTTTTATGGATTTTTGTTTGTGATGGCATTCATTAGATGTTGCAGGAGTTTTGGTTACATACAGTGCTTGAAGTGGGAATTCAGAAGTGGGGATACGCTTGTGCATAAAATGGTGATAGCGTTTTTCATTCTGTAATCACACACTGCAACAGGATGATCATGCACAAGAAGTGGGGGTGCACAAAATGCCAAATTAGAGAAGTGGGGTTACATGCATTACTCTCCACTTTATTCTTTCTCAAATAAGAAGACAAAAATTTTACATATTATTACAACTGAAGTGTAAATGGTAATTTGTATATAGATAATTATTCCATTTTGACTTCTAATCAATATGTCTATAAATATACTCTAAACTTCTATTAACTTTACTATTAGTATGACCGAAGAAAAGGAACTTGACATGGTGGTAGATTCCAATCTATACTAAACATAGGATCCAAGTTATGATAACCTAAATGTATTATGCCACACTTGGATATAATTAAAGATCATTTGCAAAACTTTTGTTCAACTTACCAGCTGATCTAAGCCTTTCTGTAATAGCACAATACAACTAGAAATATCCAATATCATTAATGTAAATAAGAAAAAGCTAAGTCTCAAGAACTGACCCATGAGGTATTCCACTGAAAACAATGGTCCAGTTTAACTGAACTGTATTGATAACAACCTTTCCATTTCTCCTAGTTATCCATCTTATGATAGAATTAACTAGTCTTTCTTCAACCTGTAGTAATATAATTACTTTTCCTTAATAAAATGCATGTGTAGTACTTCATCTAAAACATTTTTGAAAATCTTATTACACTGAGTTTACACCCTTTCTATTATTCAAATAACATACAACATCTTTTAAAAAAGCACAACAGATTTGTAAGTCTAGGTTTCCCTTTGGTGAATCCATGTTCTCAATTTATGATATTACATTTTACTATGATTTTCTAATGCTTCTGAAATTAGAGTGTAGGATTTTCCTACTATAGAAGTAAGACTAACTGACTGTAATTTCTTGAGCATCTCTTTTAAAAATTAGAGTAAATGTCCAATCCTCAGGTACCTGCCCATTGTTAATGGACCTATCAAAAATGAAAGAGAGAGATTTGTATATCTAATTTTTAACCTCCTTTAAAACCCTGGGGAAAACCTTTGGCCCTACTGCTTTAACTACTTTTAATATTTAAATCTTTCTACATACCACCAAAGGATTAATTATTAAAATGATTCATGTCAAATGGAAAATGTAAAGGAACTTTTCTCAAGTTTTAGGGCTTTGCCTCAAATTTTTCTTTCGTAATAAACTGTTTCATTGTTATTATTTATATTGACAACAAACAAGTAAATATGTTAAGATTATTAACCTTTTTTCTCCTAAGTTCATTTTATCTTCTTTTGTTTTGTAAACTTTTATAAGTGAAAATAGTTCTGTGTGCTAAACTGTGCCAGATAGTAAAGTTTACTTAGTTTTTATAGGTGTTCCATGTGCCAATTTGTCAATGGAAATTTCAAAAAACCAACAGGAGGACAACTTGCCATCCTCAACTTTCCTTATGGGTACATGTAAAGAAGAACCGTGTACAGCGAGTGACCAGTCATCTTTATTTTCAATTTTATCGTATTCTCCAGGCAATGATATCCAGTTCAGAGAGTGTGTGGATTTAATGAGTGACTTGCATTTAAGCTTTGCCTCAGCTAGCTCTGATCTCTCTTATCAAGAAATCCAGGAAAAGCTGAAAGAATTGCTGAAAGAAAATATTGAACTTAAAGGTAAAATGTAGAGAAAAGAACTTATGTATTATGTAGTGATACTAGGATAAATCTAGGATTTCTGAACAATACATTCCTTGGTTTTTAATGTTTATCATTTAGATAAGAACCAAGCCCAGCTTCCATAAAACTTTTTATGTAACAGTCCTACAGGAAAGACATCAGTGGTTTACTAGTATTATACCTAATTTTTTAATAGAAAGTAGAGGTTGCATAGAATAGAAACATTTATTCTGGTTACTTTTCTGATGGGTGTCTGAGTGAGGAAATGAAATGGATAGAAATAGGAATATGGTTATTTACAAAATGACCCCAAAACTTCCAACTTTTTAGGGATATTCAATGAAAATTATCAGAGAAAGTAAACTGAAGAGAAAAAGTATTTTCTGATATTTTCTGTTTTCACATAATAGCATTTCGTGTTCAGTGTTGTCTTCTATATGTGCAAATTATTTGCTCACCACTATCTTTGAAACTCCCACCTACCCCACATTCATCGTGGTTCTACTGCATCTTCACATGCAAATAAGTATGCAGCAACCCTCCACCAATAGGACCACAACACACACTCCTGATGCAGATTATACCCTCTATACTATTCAGTCTAACATTCACTTCTCATTTAGGTACTATCATGTTCAGACGTTACTTGTTTTGGTTTTTTTCACATTTGCACTTGCTTAATTTCTTTTTGTGTTGTTTCTTAACCCTATACTTGCCGTGGCCATTTTGTCTTATTGTGAGGGCAAAATCATTTGTGAATTGAAAAAATGATAGAGAACTTATCTTTTATTGGATTTCAGATTTTATTTTTGTAAATAGTAACATAACATTCAGTTATTTATACAAAATTGTATTATTTAATAAAGTT